ATTTACTGAATGAGTCTTATGCTGGTGACCTCCTGTGCCCTCCTTTAGAAATAATGAATGGAATGGTTTGAGATCCTTGCTTAGACAGTCTGTGAAAGAGGTGCATAGGAGCTGTGTTCTGGTTCAGGAAAGGCCAAGGTGAAGGAGGGAAAGTTTGCCATAGCCCCTAATTGAAGGGAAGAGCTGCACCCCCAGATGAGCCTTTGGGCCAGAGTGCACGAGTGAGGTCTCCTAACTGGGTGCTGAGAAGGTTCTGTTCTGCTCATGGGAACCAAAGCAGGACCCAGGGAAACACCCAAAGGTCCCTGGCTGCCCTGATCCCCAACAGTCCTGGGCCTTTTCATGCCTCTAGAAGCTCTCCTTTATGTGTATTTTTTTCTGACCCTTTGTTGAAACAGAAACAAAAGCAGTCAACAAGAGAAACCAGGTAAATCCTCTTTCCAGCATATGCACAGGATTAACATTTAGAAGGTTTGGGGCAAGGACAAGTGACTCATTTTTACCATACTTTGCTTTTATCTCATGTTTAATAAATAATTGGGAGGGAGGGGCAAATAAAATAAAGAATGATTCAGCTAGCAATGCTTGCAGGGCTTTCCACTCATAACCAGGGTCCCCTATAGACCAGAGTCAACTGAAGCAGAATTGTAATGTAGAGCAGGCTGAACTTCAGACCCCCACCTCCCCTCTACACATCTTTTCTCCTATTGTAAATACTTTTGGAATTTTCCATTGGCTATTTACTACAAGTATTGTTTTTTATATAATTCCCTATCAACACAACTGAAATTTTAAATATTTCAAATAATTTTTTAAAAACTGCATATTAGGGGTGCCTGGGTGGCTCTATTGGTTGAGTGTATGATTTTTTATTTCGGCTCAGGTCACGATCCCAGGGTTGTGGAATCGAGCCCCAAGTCAGGCTCTGTACTTAGCGTGGAGCCTGCTTAAAAATTCTCTCTCTCTCCCTCTGCCTCCTCCCAATAAAAAATAAAAAATTTAATGTGAAAAACATCATATTACATTGATACTCTGTATCCTACTGGGGGAAGCTAAGCACCCCCTTATCAAAAAAATAAACTGCTCTTAAAACAGTGTCTGGAATATGTGACCCAGCAGTTCCTTTCTAGGAATTTACCTTAAAAGGATCATCATGCGTGTGGGCAACACTTACCTGTGAGGATGTTCATGGCAAAATTACTTACAAGAAATTAGAAAGGAACTAAGATAACCCAGATATTCTTGGGAACTCCTTGAGTAACTTATGGTACATCCAAACAATGGAAGATTATGGAGATATTAAAAATTTTTGTTTTAGAGAAACATCTAATGATAAAAGAAAATGTTCTCTGCATATAAAGGGTTTTTTTAGGTAGATTACAAACTATATGTATAGTATATTCGAAGTTTTTGTTTTACAAAAGAAATTGCTCTAACGATGAAATGATGGGTTTTTATTTTCTTATTTTGATTTTCTACAGCGTTCAAATTTTCTTTAATGAGTATGTATTACTGTAGGTGTGAATCTATACCAACAGCATCAGCAGCTTCTGAGAGCTTGTTAGAAATGCAGAATGCACCCCTAGCCCCATGATCTGTATGCACATTATACTTTGAAAAGCAAAGCTGTATATAACTCAACATAAGAGAAGTAACTGTTGTTGTTCTTGTCGTTGTTGTTGTTTGAAATAGGCTTCACACCCAGCCTCACCCAGAGGCTCACAACCCTGAAATCAATACCCTGAGTTCAAGACCTGAGCTGAGATCAGGAATAGGACACTTAACTGACTAAGCCACCCAAGCGCCACTAGAAATAACAGTTTTAAATAAAGAAAGCTCCAGGCTGTGACAACTAGGTGCCCTTTACTATTTGGAAGGTCATTCTGAGTAAAGCATAAGCAATTCTTACCATCCAAAACCCAAAATCCTCTAGAAATGCCTTAATATTTCCACATTTTTCATTTCAACAATGAGACATGGAGCAGTGACAAGTCCCTCCATCTCCATTCCCTCCCCCGGCCACAAGGCCACAAAGCCTGAGCTCTGAGATGCTGCGTGAGGTAGAGAAATATAGATTCCTCAAGAGCTGCTATTCAAGCCATTAAGCAGCATGTGCCAATGTTCCACCCACAATTCTGGTTCAGTCTCCATTAAGCTGCACATCTGGCCGTCACACACTCTTTTGTGGGGACATCTCAATGGCAGCACTGATGCTGCCTCTCCCCAGGGCCAGCCCTACAGTGGCCTCCCTGTCCTCCCAGCATGTGATGTCATGAGCATGAATGTCCTGCCAAACATTTAAGATGTTGCAGTTCACATTGTGTACATTGTATAGAGAAACACTGACAGGCAGATTTGAAATTTAAAAAAACCACACACACACAGGGCGAGATACAACCAAACCTTGTTCTATTGTTATTCCAAACCACCAATTCAGCATAAATATGTATCTTGTATTCTTTAAGTACACAATCTTCTCCTGTTTGTTGCTGTTGTTGTAACTAACATCCCTAGATTCAGAGATTTCCTTGAAACGTTCTTTCTCTAATTTTCTTGCTATCAAATTCTTGGAAAGCATGAACACAACTGGTTCATTTCAAACCAAAGAGCCCTTGCATGGGGTCTCTTCCAAAAAAGGCCAAAAGAGGGAAAGTTGGATGTTAAGTCTCAAAGTCATCTCGCCCTCAAGGACCATCAAGAGGGATGGGGGGTGATTAGCTGCGCTACAGAAAGACATGAGAAAGAGGCTCTTCCCTTCACTGTTTCTCAAAGTATGGCATGGGGACCATCTTATCAAAATCACTGGGGTGTGCAACGAACATGCAGAGGAGGATTAGAAGTGTGAAGTTCTGGGGGCAGCTGGGTGGCTCAGTCGGTTAAGCATCTGACTTCAGCTCAGGTCATGATCTCACAGTTCATGGGTTCGAGCCCCGTGTCGGGCTCTGTGCTGACAGCCAGCTCAGAGCCTGGAACCTGTCTTCGGATTCTGTGTCTCCCTCTCTCTCTGACCCTCCTCTGCTCATGCTGTCTCTATCTCTCTCTCTCAAAAAAAAAAAAAAAAAAAAAGTGTGAAGTTCTGGACTAGCAGGTCCCAAGAGCATGGATTTCCCCATTATTCAGGTAGAACACTTTGGGTCTGCTATTTTACTTGTGATTTGGGGGCGAGGGGTCACTATTTCCCCCCGGGTAACAATTATTGTCACCGTATTGCCAGGTTCCAATGGAGCTCTAATGAGACAAAATCGTCAAGGCTGAATCCCACTTGATGATCACTGAAGTAGAACCTGTAGTTCTATAGCTGTGCTGTCCAATCCAATAGCCAGCAGCCCATGTGGCCATTGAGCACTTAAGGTGTGACTACTACAAATGGAGACATTTTTTAAGTGTAAAATATACACTAGAATCCAAAGATTTAATACAAAAAGGACATAAAATACCCCATTAATGATTACATATTGCAATGATAATATTTTGCATATGTGAGATTAAATAGAATATGTTAAAATTAATTTCACTTGTTTATTTTTAGCTTTTTAATGTGAATTTTAGAAAAATTTAAATCACATATGTAGCTACATTATATTTCTACTGGACCGTGCTGTTCTGGAGGGGCAGCTCTCTCCCTCCCTCCCTCCCTCCCTAGCACTGATAATAAAACCCAACCCTGTAATTATGACATACAAAATGGGATTTCCGGGGCGCCTGGGTGACTCAGTTGGTTAGGCATCCAACTTCAGCTCAGGTCATGATCTCACAGTTCATGGGTTCGAGCCCTGCATTGGGCTCTGTGCTGACAGCTAGCTCAGAGCCTAGAGACTGCTTCGGATTTTGTAGTTCCCGTTCTTTCTCTGCCCCTCTTCTGCTCATGCTCTCTCTCTCTCTCTCAAAAATAAACATTTAAAAAATAGTAATAGTCAATAAAATTTCAAAATGGGATTTCCTAACTAAACAGGCAAGGATCAGCTAGGAGAGATTTGGGGTGTCTCTTCTACCACTTCAGAGAAAAGTGGGCTCATGTAGCATGCTCCCACGTATGAGAAAGCAAGCAGAAATGTCAGGGAAGGAGGTGGCTGAGTGAGGACATCAATCTTTAAAAGAAGAGAAGAACTACTTGAAACACTTTGGATTCAAGCCAGCAGTGCTAAGGAGAGGGTATGTGGGGGCCTTAGCTGTCCCCACCCCCTGGATGCCTTTGCTCCGTTCATGCTCACAGTCATTACACCTGACAAGTTTTATTAAAGAGAGTCCTCTAACATAATTACATGACTTGTGTCCTTAAAAAATCTGTATCATAACTAAGCAAATATTTCAGTCAACAGGAAGACTACCTCTTCTGTACAAGTAATTTAGAAATAGGTATTATCTCCTAATAGACACAGAGATCTACCAAAATAACTAGCCCAAATGGATATTTCCAAAGAGGAAATGTTTGCCTATTATATTATCAGCTAGTGAAGTTAGTATTTTTGGAAAAATACTGCCAAATAGATTGTAATCTGTATCTTTTAGAGCAGATTCATAACGACACAGTTTCTGAAAAACAAATAAAAATCAACTCAACGCGTCTTTGTCCAAAATTTCCAAATTTTGAAAAAAATGCATATTAGATAGTGTTGCTGAAATATCCAATATTGTGTTTGTTTTACACTTCCCTTTATACCTAGCCAATTTCTTTACTCAGTGTTCAAAGTAGATAAAGGAGTTTAACTGTGTAATGCTTGGAACCTGGTTTCGGATTGCTGACCATTTATATGTGACTTAAAGATGCTATAACATCATTCCACAAAGAAACCTACAGAACATCCAGGCTGCATTTTTATGACCACACATGACCGCCACAATACAGTGAATAGAACAGAACATCTTCATTATTCAGGGCCGCGCAGAATAACTTGTTTTTGAGGCACTGACCAGGTTCCCTATAAATTACTAGTACAGATTAATGACGTTCTTGAAAATGTTTTGAATATTTTTGAAAACAAGAGAATATTAAAGGCCACTTGTGCAGACAGTCTGTTATTTTATTGCACAGATTTCACTTAAAGAACAAAATGCACCATCAATGTTTAGAGAGTTTGGGGTCTCAGATACTGATATGCCATCAGTGTTTACACCCGTAAAGCCAAATTCAACAGCATAATTTATGTTAAACAATATCCCTTCAAGATGGCTAACAAAATGAAAATAGAGAATGGGGGAAAGGCTTTAAAAATGTGTTAATTTGAAGCACACGCAAGTGTAGGATTAAAAACTACATCATCCAAACCTGGAAACCAAAAATGTTTTGTGGAATGTCAGTCACAGTTATATTCACTTGTACTGTTATTTATCACATAATTAAAGTCTATTCGGTACATTTCCTTCATACTGATGAATTGAGAATTTCAGGAAAACCATGGTTATAAAAATGATCAAACTTACTTGAAAAAGTATGTACAGATAAATGTAAAATCACAAACTAAAAAATATCCCCACCCCTTGCCCTTGACTTACAAAAGGGAAAGTTTCCCATGGAGGGAAAGTTCCACAATCCCTCCCTCCCCACCCCATGTCCCCCGTTCTATTTTTTTCTATCGCTTATAACTAAATGACCTTGGAGCTGAAGAGGAGGGAGCAAACAGAAAGGCATCTTTATGAAGCTCCCATTGTCATCTGTAACAGTTTGAAAAGTGTCTTTTATTTCTCTCGCCACACCCACCTCAGCAATGTTTGCAAGATATTTAAAATTTAAAGAGAGAGAGGAAAATACATATACATATACACACATATGTATACATACTGGTGAACAACAAAGTAATGCCCAAGAAAAGAGCTAACAGTGGGCAAACCCTTGAGAAAAGTGTGTGGGCATTTTCTGAGCAAAAGATTTAAGGCAATAAATGGGGAGCGGGGTGTTAGACTAAAAAAATGCCAGACAGGATGCTTTTCTGGACCTTTGGCTTTGGAGCCTGGCAGCGGAGTGGGCTTCCCCCACCTGTAGCAAGCAAACCGAGGGCCGTGGGCCCAGTATCTGCAGCACCTCCATGGACAGGCTAGCGGCCTCTTATACGTGGGCACTCTTGGCATGGGTTGGGGAGCTGGAGCCCGAAGAGTAGTAGAAACGGTTTTCACCAAACGCCTGGGCATCTCCAGCGCAGCAGACGATGACACAGCCACCCACGAGGCACAGCACGGCACCGATCCAGCCTGCGTACAGGGAGTAGCCGAAGCTCACGATGGTGGTCTCGCGGTGGGCGCACACAGGAAACCAGATGGTGGCGACGATGGCACAGAGAGCTGGAGAGATACGAGAGGGCTATGACTGGGCACACCCATCACACCCCCGACAGCGACAGGCTTCCCTTTGCTCCACATGCACGCTCCTCTGGCTTCCAATCGACTCCGACACACAGCCCTGCTCCCGTGGCAATCTGAGCCTCAAAGTTTGCATCTATAGAATCAACTGATCAAAAGCTGTGCCAAACTGCTGGGTCCTTATTTTTTCAACTGGTGGCAGAGACAAAAGGGTTCCAATGTAAAAGCCCAGAAAAAAATCATTTAAGCCAAAAGATATGTGTTTGTATTTACTTATGTATCTTCACTTTGTATACCTATACTTATAATTCTATTATTACGCTTACCTAATTGTGTTATAATTTTCTCTTTGCATGTCTATTTCCCATTCCAAGTTCTGGGTTCCTTGAAGGCAGTGGCCATGTCCTACTTATGTCTGTAAAGTCAGTGTTTAACTCACTGTGAGGCACACAGTATGTGCTCGGCTTATACCAGCTGACTGACTACATGGCCTGAGGTATTCAGAAAGGAGAAACAAAATGGTGCCCATTCCATTTTTCCACTCTATTGTTTCAATTTGGTCAATTCACATTACACACACCTGAAGAAGCTATGAGAATTCTCTTGCTGTGATAAATGTTGGTAGACATCAGTGGAGTGTTGGCTAAGAGCCTGAGTTTGTGTTATGCTGGTCACAATCACAAAATCTCAACATGCAATAAAGAGCATTCAGGGTAAAAGAATTTACCCATCCAAGGAGTTTATGGTATAGGTATTTGTTGTGATGGGTCACAATGGTAGAATTTTATGCTCTTCCACCAACCACCCTAACTTTCAGACTTGGTGTAGATTTGAAAGAATAAACTAAGAAATAGCTTCTGTATCATTTAGTTCTTTTCCTCCTAAGCAAAGTAGCTAAACAAGGGTAAGCAGGAGCCCATAAGAACGCTTAAAAAAAAAATTTTAAATCTCTACACCAGCACTACCAAATAGGGCACTCACTAGTTACAGGGTCTTTTAAACATTTTTCATGAGGCTAGTGGGATCAAAAAATGGAGTTTTGAATTTCAATTAATTAAAAGTCGAATAATCATATGTGGCCAGTAGCTCATGTGTTGAAAAGCACGACTCTAGACAAAGTGACTCCATAACCTCCTTTGGTATCATCTGATTTCTCACAATGACAAGCAGGACAGAAATTTTAGTTGAAGATTTAAATTGAGAAGACACATTAAAGTTGACAGATCAAGAAAATAATAACAATGAGGCTTCCAATCATAAAACATAAAGCCTTCAATAAATTCAAAGCAGGGCACCACAACATTTGCTGCCTAGAGTATCCTTGTTGCTTTCAACTCAGCAAGCATTTTTTACTTCTACTCACACTGAGTGATTTTCTGACTTACCTCTATGTCCAAATAGAAGAAATATCATTTTTCTTTTCACTCAATTCTAACAGCCTCATACATTAGTTCTAAACTGAACTAAAGATTGCAGCCTTACCCATTTTGAAAGACCTCTAAACTATCTCACTGCATTTGTGTAACTTGTAACATAAGCTCATTCCCCCAAGCTGGGTATAGAAACACATAAATAGATGTGATTCCTATCATAAAAAAAGTATAGATCCCAAGTGGAAGTCAGAAAGAAGAAACTGAATTTGGGGGCTTTGAGTTGCTCAAATTGGCCTTCTAATAGCCTAAATTTGCTCCATTAATTGTGTACAATTCACATATTTAATGAGTTTTTCTAGATCATCTAAGAAGCTAAAATCTGTCCACATATTAATGTCTTCATTTTTTTTCTTAGAAGAGAAAAAACAGTCATTCCAGCTTCTGTAATATGTTTGTATGAGATACCATGAGAAGATGTATTTTCCTTCTGTGAATAAAATGTTCTCAAAACGACCAGAGTTGGGGCTCCTGGGTGGCTTGGGTGGCTAAGCATCCAACTCTTGATCTTGGCTAAGGTCATGACCTCACAGAGATGGAGCCCCACATCAGGCTCTGCACTGAAGCACTGAGCCTGCTTGGGATCCTCTGTCTCCCACTCTTTCTGCTCCTTCCTCACTCATGCTCTCTTTCAAAACAAATAGATAAGCTTAATAAAATAAAATAAAATAAAATTTAACTAAAAAGAAGACCGGTATTAATTGTATCTTCCCTTTCCAGCTCAGGACCTCAAACACCTGAGCTAAAAGGGGGAAAGTCTTTTTCTCTCTTCCTCCAGTCACACATTCCAAGTGTGCCACTCACAGAGAACTCATAGAGAACAGTTTGGCTACTGTCCTCAGCAGGGCACAGAGAAAGAGAGAAGTCTTCTTCTCTGTCAGGACAAGAAACAGAAACTCTTCTAGAGCATTTCACCCAGAGAGAATTGCTCTAGATTCTTCATATCAATACATAATCGAGCTATAATCCAGTCACACACCCCTAGATCCCTAAAGTGGGCACCCATTCTGCTTGAGCAAAACAGCAACATAGCAAGTGCTTCCAAACACCCAAGCTTGATTAGAGGGAAAAGGCGGGGAGGGAAAAGGTGAATATTCCACAGGAAAAAAAATATTTGATTCCCAAACAACTGATTTAGTTCAATTCAGCTAATCTTTCCTATAAACAATTAGCTGGTTTCAAAACAGTTTATGGTTCAAGTTAGGTATAATATTTTTCAATTATTCATATTTCTACATACAACACACACACACACACACACACACACACACACACATTCACTCACAAGTATTCCCCACACTTCATGTAAACCTAACTCCAATGCAGATTTGGTATAGATTTTATAGAATAAGAGAAGAAACTGCCTCTAATTTCATTTAGTTCTTCTCCCTTTCCTAAGCAAAATACTAAGAGTATCTTCACATGGGGAAAGAATCAAGCTCAATATTCCAAAAATAACCATCAGTCTTGATTTTTATTGTTTTTAGGGATTTTGTTAGATTTTATTCCAGTGTAATTCACCAGAAAAAGGAAAAATCAGGAATATGTCTAAACATTTAAATAATGAGCCTCTAAGGACTGGGTGAATGAGCGGGTGGGTGGATGGATGAGAGGCAGTTTCATTTCAAGTCTACTTTCCACTTCAAACACATCAAAACTGACTTCCAAAATCATAAAACCTTAATGTGACTTTAACACACTTAAAGTTACAAGCTCATGATTTACCTCATTAAAGATTTCCTCCTTTAAAATCCACACAAAACAAGGCAAACGAGTGCCAGCAAAGTCTTTATTTCCTAGTAGGTACACGAACTCTGGGTAGAATTCCTGTGGCTCTCAGAGACGAACCACATCAAAAGCACTGGAAGATGACAGGCTACCACACAACAAGAGGGGAAATGAGAGGTTCAATACAAACAGTGACCTTCAACTGAACTCACAATGAAGAATGCTTAGAAACTAAAAAAGAATTTACTCAATTTCAGCATCGTTTGAAGGGAAAGGAGAATGTTTTAATCAGTAAAGTTAAAATGCAAGTCAAATCATTACTTAATCAAAATATGTGAAATATTAATAAAACTGGCAACAATTTTGCGTTATTTTAATGACAGACCTGCTGGAGTTGTTTGTGCGCGTGCGCTCGCACACGCGCGCTTGCACACGCGCACACACACACATTTATAATGGTTCTCCTAATTATTTGGAGAAAAGAAAGAAAATGGTTTTCTGAAAAAGTCACAATTACCCATAAGGTAAAGAAAATTGAAGTAAGATGAAGAGAAGTTTCATTGCTTTTCTTTTGGTGTCATCAGAATGTATTTTTAACGTCTCTAACAGAAGAATTTTAACACTCAAATTAATCTGTTTCTCCTCTTCTACCTTCAAAAGATGCAGTAGTGAACTGAACAAGGTGGAGGCAGAAATTAGTCATTTGGAAGGGAACAGAAAGTGAAAACTGTGGACATACTTAGCGAAAATAAAAAAAAAATTTTTTTAAAAGGAATGGGGTCGGGGAGTGGAGAGGAGGAGAGCAGGGGAGAAGAAAGTTTCACTGTGTAGATAGAGATTCATCAGGACTTGGTCCTCTCACCAGTAGAATTCCCTGCTCTTTATAGAATAAATTGTTTGCCCCCTTTGGTAAGTTTCAAATAATGTAATACAATGTGTTCTTTAGTTGACAGAATACAGTCTTATTAAAAGTTAACAATGATCTTGATGTAGCCAAACACAGAAAATAGTTAGAAAGGCAATTTTAGAGCAATAAAATGTAAACAGAGCTTTTAATTTCTCTAGGGATTAGATGACACACGGTAATATATGCAGTTAAATAAATGTGATGAAGTTAAATAAAATTAGTGCATGCGTGCTTGACTTTGAAGGTAACCATTTAGAGAGAGGGGGGAAAGACTGACAAAGAGGCCCAAAAAGGCAGAAGGGCACCAGGCTCATTTCCTCCTTCCTCCAATGAACATCTCTGTTTTCAGGCTTTGTCACGTTCAGAACTAAGAACTGACAGTACTTTTAAGAGCATTATTTCTAGCACCAAGCAATATTTTCATTAAAATCACATAATGTACTCTGAATGATGTAAGTAATACTGGAAAAATTCTTCCTTGACATTATATCTAAGATTTACTTCAAAGAAGTACATAGATGAAGCAGATTGGCCATGACTTTCATTATTGAAAATGAGCTTGGGCTCGTAGGGGTTCATTATACTATTTTTTCTGCCTTCATGTATGAAATTTTCCACAATAAAAACTGTTTCTTAAATCTCCCTCCATTTAAACATTTTACAATGCACTGAATGCTGCCTTCTACAATTGATGCTATTATAACATATGATCTAAATAGCAACAAACTTTAGCTTTGTGCCAGTTAACTCAAGGCAACAAGTAATGAGATTTCTAACAAGCTTTTGGTTGAAGTCATATTTATTTGTTGTTTCCTTATAATTTGAATCTAGAAAGTTTTTAGTTTTTCTTTTTATCATTTGTCATTCTCTAAATTTTGACTTAAGAAAACATAGTTGCCAAAAGACACACTCCTCTTACACAATGACTTTTATGAAGATCTAATATTTAAAACAACCAAGTCAATGGAATATTTGACTACATTATTTTCCTGGCCTGCTTTCAACATTTTTTCCTTTTATATCTATTTCACACATCATTATCTTTTTTTTCCATAACCTTTATTTGAAAGCCAGTCTCATGGTTATTTGTTAATTATTTTAATCACAGAATTTAGAGATAGGAGAGACCTCAATAAAGCAGGTAACTCCTCCAATTTTACCAATAAGGTCATTTTAAGCCACAACAGTACTTAAGATACCACAGCCTTCCCATTACCCATGTAAAATTTTACAGGCTTGTTTGTAGAAAGCTAATGAGTTTAGAGGAAGACTTTTTCCATCAGTTCTCTTAAGGCCCTGGAATTAAGAGCATCACTGTTTACTCCACACCCAAGGGTGACTTTCCTACAACTGATTCCGTGTGCATGGCAAACTCAACCTGTCCCACATTTGCACATACCTTTTATTTTACAGCAATTCCATTATTAACCTGTAAGTTTCAAGTTAAAACAACTTTTTTCCATTACAATTAGGATTCCTGGGGCCATAGTTTTAAAAAGGAGAGAAGATGAGAGAGTCTCACGTGGGATGGAATGTACACTTGCTTTCTGTCCACTCCCTACCTCGTCTCCCCAAGAACACTCAAATCAAGTACTTTCTATGTTACAGAGGTGAGAATGAGACCAAATCAGAACTAAGCTTGAGCATTTTCAGTTGGGCAGCTTAACATGGCTTCTTACAATGAAATAAGCAAAAAAACCCCACTATTTATTGATCCCTACAGTCCAGTTTTTACAAAGTAAACAATGGCAATGCCTCCATTAGACGAGGATGCAACCTAGTGTTTCCAGGAACAGCTCACCACCTCTTGACCAGTGCCATGTGTGGAGATTACCCCACAGAAATGAGGCATCAACAAAAGAATACCCAACTGCCCTGTGCTTTAGCTCTCTATTTCCTCTAGCCAACAACGGCAGTGATAATAACAACCATTTGTTGAGCATTTATTATGTGTCAGACACCAGGCTAAATAATTTGCATACCTCCTTTCACTATTCTTACCAATCTCAGATGAAAGCATTATTGTCCCATTTCACAGAAAAGCTCAGAGACATTAAGTCATGGCCCCAGTTCACACAGCTGGAAAATGGTAGCTCCGAGGTTCAGTACCGTTGGTCCGACTCCCAGTGATGAGATAAAGTAGCTCAGGGCACAGGCGCCTCCTGCCTTGGCTCTTGAAAAGCCCCAGATTAGATTCGCCTCGATCCATCCTAGATCTGAGGAGTCTGCTACCTCAGGCTCCCATGCCTTCCTCCCATGTGAGGCCAAATCCTCACACTGTTAAACTTAAGACAGTTGAGAAGATCAACAGACGTACGATTTTTTTAAGGTTTCGGAAAAATAAAAACGTTCAGGGTCGGGAAGAACTGATTTTAATTAATAGTGCTTACAGTTTCCATACCATGCCTAGTCCCCTTTGGGCAGTGACCACACTTCGGTGAGAGCACCACTGGTGACCTCTAGGATCCAGCAGGAGCCCAGCACTGGCTTCTCCGGGGGAGAGCGTCCGAAGCCCATCCAGAGCCACACAAAGGGAGCCTTCACTCACTCTAGCTCCTCCCCCCCCATGCCAACAGGGGACCCAAGGCACCGGGCTCCAGAGAAGACCCAGAGGAGAGCAGCCGGTGCCACAGCTGAGACAATGAGCACTGCATTTCCAGAGCTAGCTTGCGCTCGGGTCAAAACAACATCCAACCTGAAGGCAAATGGCCACCCACCGAGAAAGAAATCCGATAGGAGCCATCCAGGGGGGGCAGGTGACATTGGAAATGAAAAGATACAAGAGGGCATAGGGAGGCATCCTCACCACAACCTAATAGCAAGTGGCTGGAAAGGTGCAGCCATCCTGAATGCCCCTCCGTCTTTTCAGTCAGTCTTTTCAGTCCGGCAGGAATCAGGGACTGAGGGACCACACCACTCCCCGCCCCACTGCATGCTGCAATCTGTGGCCCTGTACATATGCACCAACCAACCCACTTGCAAAGCATACAGAAAAGCTTTAATTCAGCTAGGAAGTTTCAAACAACTGGTTGCCTTTGGTTTTTTCATAAACTTTGTTATTCAACTGGACGATTCAGTTGTTTTTAGAGTTGTTCTAAATACCAATTTGTCTATAGGTACTTGCTTTTGTATCTTTATTTTCCAACAGGTTTGGGTTTTGTTTCTTTGTTTTTAGTGTATTCTCTTAGTGGATATTCTGTGTCTCTCAGATAGAAGGTCAGGATTTCTTTTTTTTTTTTTTAATTTTTTTAATTTATTTCTGAGAGAGAGAGAGACAGCGTGAGCAGGGGAGGGTCAGAGAGAGAGGGAGACACAGAATCTGAACCAGGCTCCAGGCTCTGAGCTGGCCGTCAGCATAGAGCCCGACGCGGGGCTCGAACCCACGAACCGCGAGATCACGACCTGAGCTGAAGTTGGACGCTTAACTGACTGAGCCACCCAGGCGCCCCAATCAGAATTTCTGAAAATGAACACCTACCATGCCAGGCCCCCCGTCTTGGCTGTGGCACCCTCAGAGACAGAGAGAGCCCCGGGAGGCTGCTGTAGGAATGTGTGAAAAGTAACAATGGCACCTGCCTAGGATGAGAAGGATTTCCACCTGCATTCCGCAAACCAATTTACCTGTGGAGCTTTACTCTAACTGTTGGAAAGGGAATTCGAATGTAAAGATCTGGCCTCCGAAAAGTACCGTAAAGAGGACCTTGTGAGTTAGATGAGTCGCATACTGACTGTGGGTTCCATGTGGCACTCACACACAAATTCTTTGTAGCTGGAACCAAAATGTCCGGGCCCAGATTCTTCTCTGGAAAGGACAGGGGCCCTCTGGTCTTTTTGCTCCTGTTCCCCACCCCACCCCCATACACACACACACACACACATGCACACACACACACAGGTCCCTCCTCTGAATTCTCTGTGGCTTCACAAGCCATTGAAAACCTCCATCCCTTTGCAATCTTGGTAAAGGGCATCCCTACCTCTCAAGCCCCCTTACCTCACCAACATCACTGTGTGTGACCATAACTAAGTGGCACTGACCCACATAGAACACTGACCCTTACCTTTAAGCACACGGTCTGATACCAGTTTGGGGATGGGAATTCCTTGTCTGAGGAAACCCTGACTTGCATATAACCCATATGCAGACCAGTTGCTGCTCACCTATATATCACTGCCCTCTGCAACAAGCGCTGTTGTTCTTAAAATTTACGCCCTTTATTAGGATTTAGAATGTGCTGAGGGAATTGGCATTCAAGAGAAAAGCAGAGAGAATGAAGTCACTGAAGAGAGCAGAGCCAGAAGCAGCCTCCCTAGGTTGTTAACTCAAGCCCTCTGTGTGTAGGCACAACTAGGAAAACTAAAGGAGCACATGCCATTTCCTTGGCCTGGGCTGTCCCTCCTCTCAACCTCCACCCCTGCAATCTGTGATCTAACCTTCTCTTCACCTCTCATCACTGGGACCCTCTTCTCTGGGAAACTCCCCCAGTCTTGCTTAGTTTCCTTCCTATGTGTGTGCACAACCTGGACACCTTCTTTAGATGAGCACATGCCACATTTTCTGGAAGTATCCAAGTGCACTCCTCGCAGAGACGACCTTTCTCCCCAGGGTCCCCAGTGCCGACCGGTACTCAGCAGATGCCCCCTGATTCTTCACTGAATAAAAGCCTGAATCATCACTAATGACCTACTACTCTCAACATCCTGCTTCTCCCTTGCCCTCCTCTTTCTCTACTCTTTCCTTATAGGTTAACTGAAGTTCTTGATTGTGGTTACAAATAAGAATCACCTGGAAGCTTTCCAAAAATCTTTGCTTGGTCTGATGCCCAGTAATTCCGACTCAGTTGACCTGCTAGAGGATCCGGGCGTTAAGTGTTCCCAAAGAAGAGATTCCACTGTGTTACTCTCTTCGGTCCCCCAGTCTCTCTCTTCAGTATACCCTCAAAATCCTTTTTTCCTTTTGCTTTTAAATTTATTTTCATGTCCAGTGGCCCCCACAGACATTCCTCATCCCTCTGCATAAACGACTCATGCAACAGAAAGGGATACACATTGCGGGGGTCTTTGCCTGGGTAGACTCACTTGGGTTACTTTTACATGCTCTTGAACTCAGTGAAGCAGCATCAAGAGCTGAGATTCATCAGATTCATTCGAAGTTGGGGTGCTATGTAGAAAGCTGTCTTACCTAGCAGAATGAGCATAACGCCAGCCAGCTGGGCCCGCCTGTACTTGGCCACGCCGGGCTCATGGCCCATTCGGATGCAGGGGAGAACCGTCAGCAGGAGGAGAATGGCCGGCAGACCCAGGACTGAAGCTGCAATCATCAGGGCTCGGCAAGCCTGCACGTACCCTAGATGCAAGAGAGCACACAGAGGCGTTAGACCATGGGTCTCCCTGGATCCTGAACCCTGGCAGGGATCCTGAACCCAGCACCATCTGCCTTCCTCTGGTCCCATTCCAGGACTTTGAATGTGGTAAATGTTATCTAAGATCACTTCACACGTTCAACTTTTCAAGTGACTCCATGACAAAAAAGGGAGGCTGGAGGCTGGCGATACTGGACGGAGAGCTCTGGGTTAGACCGCATGTCTAATCTTTCAGGATGAAGAGGCCGAGAGTCTAACTACACCGTTAAATCACCTTCTGAAAAACTCAGATTATGACTCAAATCTTCCAAGATGCCTTCTGTGAAGGTCTATGTTGACTCCAGCCTGCTTCTGATATACTCTACCTGTGTGACCTTGGGCAAATTACTGAACTGTTATGTCTTGACATTCTCTACAACTATAAAGTAAAAATATAATAATAGTATCTATGTCTCTCTAAAAGAATTCAACTAAGATTAAGTTAGTTAATTCATACAGTGCTTAGAACGGTGCCTAGCACATACTAATATTCCAAAAAGATTAGCTGTTATTACCAGTGTTATTACTCTATGTTATGGCAATCATTTTATACTAGGCATACTAGGTGATTTGTCCTAATCATGTGCTTTTAATTCACATTGTATATAGTGTGTGGCCCTTACTAGACTGAACTAAGACTTAGGCTTCCTCTCTTGACATCTCCCAAGAGACTTTTGTGCTTACAAATCCTGACCCCCTATTGATGGTCAGACTCCACCTCCTGCCTCACCACAGTCCCTGGGCATGCTTCCACAATGGTCTGGTATACGCTTTAAAGGCATCTCTCTGGCCCGAAGATTTCCTAGAGGGCAGACACCTGCCTTTGGTCATCATGGAGTTAACACAGTGCCCACAGCAGATGATGTAAACATACAATTATGAATTAAGGAATAAGAAGTTGAATGACAGGGGTGCCTGGGTGGCTCAGTCAGTTAAGCGTCCAACTTTGGCTCAGGCCATGATCTTGCAGTTTGAAACTCCCATCAGGCTCTGTGCCGACAGCTCAGAGCCTGGAGCCTGCTTTGGATTCTGGGTCTCCCTCTCTCTCTGCCCCTCCCTACTCATGTTTTTTTTTTCTCTCTCTCTCTCTCTCCCCCCCTCTCTCTTTCTCTGTCTCTCAAAAATAAAAACAAGCATTAAAAATTTTTATAAAAGAAGTTGAATGGTAAGAGTGGAGGAAAAGCCAACTGAACTTTATGCTGTCAAATAAAATGCCAGGTAACAATTTCATTAAGAAAAAAATTACAATATGTGCAAATTTATGTAAGACAAATCTAACAAGATACTGGCAGAATATGGCAGACCTAAATGTATTGTTTCTCATTAAAACACTGTCCTCCAAAAATAAAGGAGGGGGTTATACTTATTACTCTCCCTTTTTTATTCAGAGGGAATTAGTGCTAGTGCAGGGGGGCAGGGTAGAGTTAAAGGCAAAGCAAATATGATCCCCAATTTCTGCCTCCACACACCAAGACTCTCATACCAAGACACAACTGCAACACCATCTCTTACTTAGCGAGATCTACTTTGCCGGAATTCAGACTCCACAGGGGTACTCTTCCAGCCATTACCCATCCCAGCTTCTTCAAAATTAAGGGTAAACAATCAATCAACTATCTATTGACTTTACTGACTTGAAGACACCCCCCTCCACACACACACACACACAGAGGAGCCACGGGATTCTGAAGCAGGACTTTGGACGCAAGTCCGGTGCCCCTGCAGCTTGTAGGAGAGCCAAGGTGGACACAACAGAGACAATCAACTAGCGACCCAGGTTCTGAAATTCATAGTGCAAGGCTGTCCATGTGCTAGAGGCTAAGGCCATGTCTAAAAAACCAAAGATGGACACTGAGATCTGTTCCTGTCCCCACCCAGGGATGAGGGAGGGGGACAGCAGGAAGATGAGGCCCTCCCTAAAATGTACTCCATCTGTAGGATGTAACATCACCTGTTCCCTGAAAAGAAACCACTTGGCCCTGAATGCTCAGTAAACTTAATTTCAGGGGAAGGAAGGAGACAGTGATTTTATACTTCAATCAGATTCCTACAAATACTATGCCCAGCTTTTTGAAAAACTTATAGCTACAATTTAGGAAGCCTATACTACATCAAAAGAGGTTTACATTTCTCATCTCATTAATCCCCTAAACAACTCTGAAAGATAGGCGGTTGGTTTGATTTTACTTTTTAAAGAAAGACGTTTGGGATTCATAGACACTAGTGAATTGTCCTAAATTATCCAGGTTATGAGCACTAGATCCCAGAGTCTGACCCAGGCCTACCAAGGCCACCATTAACTGAAGGTGAGTGCAGATCTGGGCTCCCCCCACCTCTATCATTCTGGAAGTTCAAAATGGAGAAGAAGAAAGTACATTGTGTGCACCAGCCCTGTTCCCCAGCAAGGCCTGATGCCGGAAGGGATGGAAAGAGAGTAGGACGCCATCTTTATCTTTGAAGAATTTAAAACGTGGTAGAAAAACTTGACTCAACAATGAACAAAAATGTCAAAATGTGCCCTGATGGGAATAAGAGTCAAATACCAGAGCAGCAAGGAGGAAGGGGGGCTTGATTCCAACTACAAGGACTGGGAAATAGGAGGCACCTTGGGGTGCCTATTTAAAGGGTAGAGCAGAGTCCCCAGGGAGCTCAAGGCTCACCCAGGAGACGGCACAAAGCCAAAGGCTCCCAGACGGGTCTTGGGGCCAAGTTACTCCGCTGGTTAAGACAGGCCCTTAAATGCACATCGTCCTCAAAGGCTAGAGGGGACAGAAGGCAATCCTTTAAAGGTTAAACCCACAGGCGGGGCAGAGATAAGGTGCAAAACCCTTAAGAGGAGCCTGCGACCTCGCCAATCACCCAACTGGCTCGAGGTTTACATCTGACTTGAAACTGTTGTCCAGAATTTTTCAATGTCCCCCCCCCCGTTCCCCGGCTGGCGTCGGAGGAGTTGATGGCTAGATACTTCCCTTCTGTCCGGATCCGAGACGCAGCTGGAGGGGAGCGAGCGACCAGGGGCTGCGCGCCTTCTCGAAGGGTGAGCGGGCCCTCCTGGGGGCGACAGCTCTTTCCTACTGGACCCGAGAAGTGCACAGGCAGGGAGGGGCATCACCGCAGGCCGGCGGACCGACGTCCCCACTCCGGGGCCAGGGGTGGGGGAAGTAACACACGCCCCCGGGACCTACGGGAACCGACCTGGCGGAGCTAGGAGGACCCTAACGTGGCCGGCACTCGTCGCCAACCCCACGAAGACGGAAGAACGGATAACTCTGCCTGCTCCTGTTGGGGTCCCCGGGATGCTAGTGTTTCTCTCCTCCTCGCCTCTCCGGGTGGAACCTAACGCCTGAGGGAGAAGGCCCGGGGGGGGGGGGGGGAGAGTACAGTACTTCTGAACCACCGACGGCGGGAGCCTGAGGTAGGTGGGGGGAGCGTCAGTCGTCAACATGGAGAGAGTTCCAATGATGTGTCTACGTCTCAGTTTATTAACTTCTCGGGGTGACTTGGCCCCCGGCTACCACTATCCTCCCAAATTGCAGATAAGAAAACTGAGGCTGAGAGAGGTTAAGTTCAGGACTGCCTAAGCCTCTACAAGGTGGGGCTGAAGCTATCAAAAACGTGCCCTAAGGTCTTCAAGGCCTTGCAACGTTTCTGTGAACGCCATCTAACGCGCCCACCCCGGGTCTGCCGCGACGAGGAGGGCTCGGAGCAGCCTCTCGAGGGGCGGGATCCTTACCCGGCAGGATGAGGATGTCCACCAGGGGCTTGCAGTGGTACAGCCCCGTGGCCATGACGCAGTCTGCCCACAGCCCCTTGGAGCCCAGTTCGTCCAGCTTGCGGCAGGTGGGGATGGTGTACCCGCAGGTCACCACCCAGTCATTGGTGGACGTGGTGACGATGATGCCGATCCAACCCACGAAGCTCGTGACGAAGCCCACCACCTGCAGGCACGTGGCCACCATCGCGGCCACCTTGGCGTCCCCGGGCCTCGGCCCTCACCAGCTGTGCGTGCGCCGGGGCTGGACGGCGCCTGCCGCGCTCCTCCCTCGCGCCTTCGCGCGCGCTCGAGAGCCGCCGACCCGCGACGGGCGGACGCGGGACGCGGGCAGCGGGGCGGGCGCAGAGAGGCGGCGAGCCCTGCTCCGACGGCGCGACGGGCTCGCGGCGAGGACGGCGGCGCCGCTGGGCGGTGCGCCCCCGCCCCCCTCTTTAAACCCCGCAGACCCGGCCGGCGAGCGCCAATCGGCGACGGCCCGGGTGGAGCCAGCCAATCGCGGGGCGGGGGCCGGAGTTGGGGGAAGGGTGGAAGGGAGCAGGGGAGGGGATGCGCCCAGCGCGGCGTCGCGTGGTCCAGGTTAGAAAGTCAAATAATTCGTCCCAGGTCCAAGAAATGGAGAGCGGTGAGAGGGCCCGCGTCAGGCTCCAGGTCTGTTTTGCTGTAAAGTGTTTCTGTCCTTGCTGCCCCTCTGCCGTCTCTGTCTCTGGGTCTCCGCTGTGCTCCATCCCTCCTCATTCTCCCCACTCGCTCTTTCTTCCCAGCTGAGAGCTGGGACAGCTCCTCCACCGCCCGCGGTAGTAACGACGGATGAGCGGAGAGCTGCCCTGAGCAACAGAGGCGAAGCACCCAGCATACCACAGTTACTAGTGGAAAGAAAATGACCCTTTCCTGTGGTTGAAAATCATCAGAGGTGGACAGGACCTTATTAATGGTGACAACAGCAATAGCAACTCACATTTATCTAACTGTACTGTCATGTACTATGTGCATGCATTTGTATTTATGTATTATTTAATTCTCATAACAACCCTCTGTGATAGGGATCATTGCTTAGGTGTAATAAGCATGAAGAAACAGCATGAGAGGTTAGATTGCTCAAGGTCACACAGCTAGGTAGGAGGAGAGTCCCTGGGCTCATTAACCATTCCTGGGAACCTCTCCTGATGGTCACTCTCTGGAAATTCCTAAAGGACTCGAGGTCCCTGTTTTGACACATTAATAACTAGGCTGACTGCTCTGGCCCCCGCTAAGCTAATATCTGTACTCCAATGAGACCTCTGGGTAGCCTAAAGTGAGTACTCTACAAGTACACACTATCATCATCATCATTAAGCCTTCTCTCCTTGCATTCAAATAAGACCCATTATATGCACTTTTTTATCCCGTAGACAAGTCCTCCTTGGATTCTACTTACAGTAAACAGTTTCAATTCCCTTTGATGCCTTTGGCTTATCTTATTACATCCCTCTATCAACAATCATGAGATTTAAAGATGAGGACTTGAACAAACAGGAAACTTCCTATTCAATACTCTAAATCTAAATCTAAGATACGGATCATAAATCACAGCTGCTAAGACTTCTATATCTATGCTGGGTGTCAGGGCAAATCACCATATCTTCTAGGGAAGGTTAGGCTTGAGGAAACCCCAAAAAAATCAAGTGCACAGACAGAAGAGGCTCTACAAATAGATGACAGAGTGTCAAAGACAAGAGCACACAACAGTCACTGGGGAGAGCACAGTGGTTAACACTGCACGCCTGGCTGCCTGACTTCAAATCCTGGCTCCACCACTTACTAGCTTGGGACCACGCTGCTTCATCTCTCAGGGCCTCAGTTTTCTTATTTATAAAATGGGGATGAAAATAGTGCCTATTTAATAGGTTTCTTGGTTGTTACATGAGTTAATATACATATAGAGCTTAAAACAATATCTGATACAAAGTAAGTGCTCAGTCAACCTGAATAATGGTTCAGAGCTCTAGCTTTTCACTCTTATGTCCTCCCTGCATTCATACAAGTTTGGCTTATAGAAACAGCTGTAGGAATTTGTCTCTGTTGTGAAGGAGCCATTGTGTTTGGGGGTATTTCATCACCAGGATCTATTGACCTGGATGTTTTCAGATACATCCTCATAACATTTTTTAAAGAGCTTTTGTGTTAAGTACAATATGGACTATAAAACCTGGGTTGCCTGGCTGGCTCAGTCAGTAGAGCATGTGACTCTTGATCTCAGGGTCATGAGTTTAAGACCCACCTTGGGTATGGAGCCTACTTAAAATAAAAATGAAAGCATATATATTAATATATATATTAAAAACTATAAAACCCATGCAACTCCAGTTCCTTGAAAAAGCAATTATGAAATCTGCATTCTTATGACTCTATTAGCATTTGACATTCCAGCAATAAAAACTCAACCAGTCTGAATTCAACAATGCTCAGGTCACCCACAGGTCATGCACACAGAAGTATTTGTAAAGCCAGATTTTAGAACTCAGACATTAAATAGTAGAAAGGTTGTCAGGTTGTTAAGATCTTGGAATGGAATCTTCTGAGTTTATATTCCAACTTTATCACTTGGACTGTCCCTATGTAACTCTCAGGTTCTTGATCTATAAAGTGAGAATTGTAGATGCCCCATGGGGTTATTGTTTGGGTTAAGCGAGATAACGCATGCAAAGTTAAATATTTCTATATGTGCTTTATTTGCATATACATACACACATATATCTTACAAATGGGCACTCGTGAATGTTAGATACCATTAGTATTATCCATAGGCAAAGTGGATCAATTAAAAATATTAGTTGTTTTTGATAGAGACTAAAACTAAAATAATAAGTTTATACAGAAGAGAAATCCCAAGATGAATATCGAAACAATCACAACACAGCTGTACAAAAGGCAATTGGAAGAAGATCTGCAAATTGCAACTTATTTGAATAAATTAGCCATAAAAAGAGAGAGAGAACATGGAAAGGAAGGAAAGGAAAGTTGGAAAGGAAGTTGGCTGCTATGGAAGCACAAGGAACTGAGAGCCAAGGGGCCATAAGAACCCTCCACTATCCACAGGAGTTGGTATAGTGAAGCCACCGACACCAAGAACATTGTCCCTTTGGCAAGTTTCCCTGGATAGTGGGAAGTCCCTGAAGCTATTTTAGCTGAGGGACCTATCCTAAAATCATCCACACTCCTGTGGTGACTCTACTCCCCAAGGCTTCCTTGTGATTAGAAAATGACTTCCCACATGGCATAACTTAATTAACTGACATTCCAGGTCGACCACAGCCCTGGGTACTATTTTAGTTGTGAAAGGCAGTTTCTCAGAGTCCAATCACCCCAGTCAACCGTGGGTTCCCAGTCCTCCCAGACAAGGTCTTTCCAATTAATTTTCTCTCAGAAAACGCCTTGCCATCTCTTCACATTTCTCCGGTATATAACAGAATGAGTAAGGTAAAGCTGAAATCTGATTCCAGCTCTTCCAACCCTAAGTCCAATATTCTTTCCATGACGGAAAATGTAAGGTCTTTCCTTCCTTAATCTTATTCCAAAATGTATAAAGAAGAGCATTAGAAAGACAGTTGATGACTTAAACCCCAGATATGTACTGAACAAAGGAGTCGGAGTAGTTAACTGTTCTTCTACCATTTACACTGAAATAATGTCAGTCACAGCCTGTGATTCAGTTAGAACACTAATGCGCTAGGCATTGACAAAAGTGTGTTTGCTGACAAGCAGCAAAAGCCCACGTAGAAAGCAAAACTTGGGCCAAAGGAGTGGGCTTACAGCGACTACTAATGGTGTCTTTTATCATTGCATAGCTGGTGAAAACATTTTCTGTGTAAAGGGGCCTGTGGCTTGCAGAGAAACATGATTAACAGCGACTTTCCACATTCTAAATGTGTGATCATTAGCCCCAAATGGAATGTACACATCTATGTAGAAAGCTTTCCTCACAGAGGCATTCAGTCAGAAGAGCACGTGACTCTTCATCTCAGGGTTCTAAGTTTAAGCCGCACGTTGGATACACACGTCACTTAAAAATAAAATCTTTAAAAAAAAAGGCTTTCCTCCTATATTAAGAAATATGCATTTCTTTAGAAAATGTGAAAAGATAGGACATATATTATACTACTTAGGTGAGATTATTCACTTAAAAATGAAAATACTTTTGGGGTTCCTGGCAGGCTCAGTCAGTAAAGCATGTGACTCTTGTTCTCGGGGTAGTGAGTTCAAGCCCTGCATAGAGCTTACTTAAAAAAAATAATTTAAATACTTTTAATAGGACCTCTTTTAAGGATAAATTCCTCTTGTGAATTTTAATATTTGTTGACACAAAATTCCAAATACACATACACATTTAGAAATATTGTCATATAGGGGTACCTGCGTGGCTCAGTTAGTTAAGCGTCTGACTTCAGCTCAGGTCACGATCTCATGGCTCGTGGGTTCAAGCCCCGTGTCAGACTCTGTGCTGACAGCCTGGAACCTGGAGCCTGCTTCAGATTCTCCCTCTCTCTACACCTCCCCCACTCACACTCTGACCCACTGTCTCAAAAATAAAGAAACATTAAAAAAGAAAGAAAAGAAATATGTAGTATAAACTCATAGTGCAGGCAAGGATGAAGTGCCCGGTGAGTTTGGGGGTTTTGTCTATTTTATTGATCGCTGAAATCTGAGTGTGGCACAGTGTCTGGCAGACATGAAGGCACCCTGTACCTATCTGTTGAATGGAAATGTTCCCCCAAAAGAGAGAGACTTGCATTTGCAAGCCTCCAAGTTTCACTGGGATGCTGTCTCAGTCTATCCAGGCTGCTAAAAAAGAATGCCATAGACCGGGTGGTTTATAGAGAACAGAAACTGACTTCTACATACAGTTCTGGAGGTTAGAAGTAGAAGATCGAGGAACTGACTAGCAGATTCTGTGTCTGCTGAGAACCCTCCTCTGGGTTCATAGACAGCAGTCTTTTTGCTGTGTCCTGACATGATAGAAAGTTTAAGAGAGTTCTCTGAGGGTCTCTCTCTCTGTCTCTCTCTCTCTTTTTAAAACGTCTATTTATTGGGGCGCCTGGGTGGCTTAGTCCGTTAAGCGTCCGACTTTCGCTTAGGTCATGATCTCGCGGTTCGTGGGTTCGAGCCCCGCGTCGGGCTCTGTGCTGACTGCCAGCTCAGAGCCTGGAGCCTGTTTCAGTCTGTGTCTCCCTCTCTCTCTGACCCTCCCCTTCTCACGCTGTCTCTCTCTCTCCTAGAAATAAAATATTTTTTAAAAAATGTCTATTAATTTTTGAGAGAGAGAGAGAGGCTGTG